TGGTACTTGATTACATTTCTATCTCTTCATTGAAGTTTTTTTTGTGTTCATCTGTTCTTTGTCTAACATCAGTGAGCATCTTTATGACTATTACTTTGAATTCTTTATCAGGTAGATTACTTTTCTACATATCCTTAAAGTCTTTTTCTAGGTTTTTGTTTTGTTCTCTAATTTGTAACACATTCCTCTGTTTTCTCATTTTGCTTGACTCTCTGTGTTTGTTTCTATGTATTAGGTAAAATAGCTACCTTTCTCAGTGTTGATGAAGTGGCTTTGTGTGAGCAATGATCTTTCTCATTCACCTTTGCCCTAGCTCTTGGTTGTCTCACGAACCTTTGTGATTGTCTAGTCTTCTTGAGTTATTCTTTATACGCCTCCAATGTTGAGAGTGTACCAACATCTGTCAGTGTTCCAAGAAAAGAAATCTCATTTTGTACCTTGTTTCATGCTGATTGGAAGCCAGACCCTCAGGCAGCAGCTTTTATAGTATGGAAACTTACATAGTCCTGTTGGGCTACAATCTTTGTCTCTGCTGGCCTTCAGATCAGGAGACCTGGAGGTGTCCCCTGGGTGACAGTTGCCCAAATTGGGACCCTAGACAAGTGTTAAGCTTTCAGAAGTCTCATTGAGCTGTAATGAGGCCAAGAGGGTGTCTTGTTTTCATTCCCTGAAAGCACCTCCCTTAGCTTCTGGGTATGTGGGAAACCTGAAGCCTATTTTTCAAGCTGAAGCTCCAGGCTAATAAGCCTTTTCACAGGAAGACTGGATTTGGGTTTTAGTTTGCTGTTTATGCAGTGCCCTGGGGGTGGCAACCAGCCAACAACTGTCTTTTGGATTTTTACAGTCCAGTGGAGCTCAGTTATGCCAGCCCTCTTAGCCACCAGTGTCAGGCATCACTGGGTATCGCTTGTGTGGATTGCACCCACCCTCTGGCTTTAGCAAGGTAGCTGTATAGTGTAGGGGGTGGGGCTCACTTGCTGCTTTCAGGAAGACCTTGGGTAAACATCTCCACTGCCTATGTCCATGGGCTTCAGCAGTGCAGCTAGAGAGTGCTTTGTTTGTGTGCATTCAGGCTTTAGGCTGGGGGTGGGAGAATGCCACAACTGTTTCCCAGCCCCAGCAGGTGGGGATGGGAAGTTTGCAACCACTGGCACTGGCAGACTTTAGCTAAGGCATGGGAGAATGCCCAGTGTTCCCAGTCACCTACCGCTTCCAGAGAGTGGGAAGGTGTTGTAACTACTTGTACTCTTCTCTGGTTTCAACAAGGCAGTGGGATAGTGTCTCCACTGCTCATCCACCTGAGTTAGCAGGTTAGGTAGAGAGTGCAATAATGGCATCCACCAGCTCCTCTGTCTCTGGGGAGCTTTTCAACTGTACCCCTCCTTTCCAGCCAATGGTTTTAGGTTTACAAGTGACTCTTTTTCATGTAGTCTGGACACTTTTTCAACTGATAATTTTTTGTTAGTTGTTTTTTTTTTTGTTGTTTGTTTTTTGTTTTTTGTCTAGGTGTGAGCCCTTTAAGAGGGGAGTCTGTTTCCCATAGCATGTCAGGTCCCCTTGATGTCAACATTGGCTCCATTGGTTTTCTAAGCCAGATGTTTTAAGGGCTCATTTCTCCAGTGGACCTCTTAGGGTTAGTGTGCCAGATGTGGAGCACCAACTCTTTGTTCTAGAAGTATCTGTCTGGTGAGGTTGCTCCCTATTGAATGCTACCACATCAGGGGTGGGTTTTTGTGAGAGCTTGTCTCTGCCTCTTCTGTCTCGATGTGGTCCTTTTATCCTTTGTTGTGGAAAGCAGCAGTTTAACTAGTTTTCAGATAATTTTCCAAGGGAAATGGTCCATGTGTAGTTGTAAGTTTGGTGTGTTATCTGTGGTAGGAAGTGAGTTCAGAATCTTCCTGTGCCACCATCTCGGACTTCACCTATTTCATAAGTTTTAAATTGAGCTCCATTCTGGGTAGTGTGATGAAATCTCACACCATCCTGCTCTGCCCCACCCAGGAATCCAGAACATGAATCATCCCTTTTCTAGAATATCCATGCTGTATTTAATAGTAGCCACACAGCTCAAGAGTAATGATGCTGGCAATTTTAATATGCCAAAGAGAAGCTGGAAAGTGCTTACTTTAAGTGGAAAGGTAAAAGTTTTTGACTTAATGAGGCATTTTTTTTTTTTTTTTTTGCATTTAGAAGCTGCTAAAATTTTTTTAAATTTAATTTTATTTTTAGTTTCAAGTATACAGTACATTGGTTAGATGTTCATATAGTTTATAAAACGAACTCCCTAATTGCTCTGCTCTGTCTCTCCTCTGGCTCTCCACCTAGCCATTACATTAATGCTAACTGCATTCCCTATATCATGCTCCCCATGCCTGTGACCATCTGTTAACTACTAATTTGTACTTTTTTAACCCTTCACCCCATTCTCCCAGCCTCCAGCCCCTCAACCCCCCTGGCCATCATCGGATTGTCCTCTATATTTGTGAGTCTGTTTTTTGAGTAGTTTGTTCTTTTCATTTCATAGATTCCACATATTAGTGAAATCATATGGTATTTATCTTTCTCTGTCTGATTTATTTCATTCAGCATAATAAACTCTAGGTCCATCCATGTTGTTGTAAATGGTAGGATTTCATTTTTTTAAATAATTCAGTAATATTCATTGTATATATGAACCATAACTTCTTTATCCAATTGTCTGTTAATGAGTATTTAGGTTGCTTCCATACCTTAGCTATTGTAAATTGTGCCACCATGAACATACAGGTGCATAGATCTTTATGAATTATTGTTTTGGTTTTCTTTGGATAAATACCCAGAAGTGCAATTGGTGGGTCAAAAGGTATATCCATTTTTAATTTTTTGATAAACCTCCAGACTGCTTTCTATAGTGGCTGTACCAATTTGCAATCCCACCAACAGTGTATGAGAGTTCTCTTTTCTCCACATCCTCGTCAATACTTGTTCTTTGATTTATTGATGATAGGTGTCAGGTGATATCTCATTGTGGTTTTAATTTGCATTTCTCTGATGATTAGTGATCTTGAGCATCTTTTCATATGTCTATTGGCCATCTGTATTTACTCGTTGGAGAAATATCTGTTCAGCTCTTCTGCCCATTTTTTAATTGGATTGTTTGTTTTGTTGTTGAGTTGTATGAGTTCTTTATATATTTTGGATATTCATCTCTTATCAGATGTATCATAAGTGATTATCTTTCATTCAGTCAATTGTCTTCTTGTTTTGTTGATAGTTTCCTTTACTGTACAAAAACTTTTTGGTTTCATGTAGTCCCATTTGTTTATTTTTTCTTTTGTTTCCCTTGTCTGAGGAGATATGTCCGAAAATAAATTACTGTTAGCAATATCAGAGAGTTTACTGTCTATGTTTCCTTCTAGAAGTTTTATGATTTCAGGTCTTACATTTAAGTCTTTAATCCATTTCGAGTCTATTCTTGTATATGGTATAAGAAGGTGGTCCAGTTTCTTAAAGAGGCATTTTTATCACATCACAACATTATAAGAAGGAGAAATACAGCACAATAAGATATATTGAGAGAGAGACCACATTTACATAATTTTTCTTACAGTATATTTTATAATTGTTCTATTTTATTATTAGTTGTTAATATCTTACAATGCCTAATTTATAAATTAAACTTTATCATAAATATGTATGTATAGGGAAAAAACATAAAATATGTAGGGTTCAGTACTGTCTGTGATTTCAGGCATCCACTAGAAGTCTTGGAACATAACTCCATGAATAAGGGGGACTACTGTATTCCATTTGTTCTCTGGATGAGGACCAGATCCAACCTGCTCTGAAAGCAAAGACACATAGCCTATTTTACTGGTTTATACTTGAGCAATTCAAGAAACTTCCAGTGGCACTATTTGCCACTTGTTTCCAACCAGGGCCTGTTTTTATAAATGAATATATTTTAACACCAACAAAATTAAATACAAGTTAGATTATAACCCTGTAGACTAGTACAATAGTTTGAGCATTTACAAATTTGTAAAAAGATAGTTGAAATTCTCAATTTATTTCATCTCCTTATGTATGTATATACTTCATGCAGCTATATTTTTCTGTCCATTTGATGTTTGACATATAAATATATATGTATTATTATCTGTGACCTTATGGTTTGTTTTAAACTTAATGAGAATTAGGGGATAATAGAAAGCTGGAACTAGTTTCTAATTTGATTATAATTTAAAGATTCAGTAGCAGTGAAAATTTTCAGTAATATTAAATATTTTAATGCCACGCTTACAGCCCATAAATTAAACCATCTAAATCAGTAATACTTTGAATTTTCCCTCTTGGCAAATGCCTTCCTTCTAATCTGAGAGTAAATAAATTGTTATTTTCGAGGATTTATAATAATAAAGTAGCTATACTAATAGAGTAGAGCATAAGGTCTAATTATAAATGGTACAAAAAATTTATGTTGGACCTGGTCGGATCTAGCTCAGGGAAGAACTTCTGATATGTGTCTGTTGAAACCTCAGTCACCCTACTTTTCTGAATCTGAAACATGAATTTTGACGTAAGAGACTATAACTAGTCACAGAAGACAAGGTAATATTAAAGAAATCACATTCAGACAATTCAAACTTTAATCCTAACTTTGACATCCTTGATATTTTTGACACAATAATCATGTTTGCATCATAGAGTTTGAATTTCTGGGTTATCAGATATCAACATGTCATAATAGCAACTATCAGTTGAATAACCACTATGAGCTAGGTACTATGCTAGACATTTATATTGTTTATTTAGTTCTCAAAACAATTCCACATCATACTGGTTATCACAATTGTACAAATAAGAAGAGATATATAGAAAGGTTAAGTCACTTACTCAACTACAACTGGAGGCAGAATTTAAGCCCAGGTCAACTAGACTTAAAAGCTGTGCTCTTTCCATACCACAGTGCTAAGAGTGGTCGAAGAAATGGTTAATGAATACACTAATTTGCTTTTCAGGAATTCTGTGCGAAAGGCACACATCTATGGAATTACTTTTAGTATTTCACAAGCATTTATGTATTTTTCCTATGCTGGTTGTTTTCGATTTGGTGCCTATCTCATTGTGAATGGACATATGCTCTTCAGAGATGTTATTCTGTAAGTAACTTTAAAAATATTAAGATTATTCTATAATAGGGTTTCAATAGGTCTATGCAAAAGTTTAGAGCAGCAAAAAACCTCTTTTGTTCTAAGATGAGGTCAGAGTTGAATCAACCACAGAAATCTGATATTGTCAATTCTCCAAGTACAGTTTAATCATTTGAGTGGGCTAAAATTAACTCAGCTTATGAAAACTATCATAAACCAGAATTTTAGTAGTACCTAGAACTCTAGTCAAGAGGACACCAAATTTTCTTATTGTAGAATGTGGGCAGAAATAAATCATAATTAGAAAGTTGCTGGTGACCATAGACTCAAAACTGAGGGTTAAATCGCTTGCTATTTATCTGCACCCACAGCTGGCCTTGACAATGGGATGGGAATGCTTGACCGAAGTCTGGCAAAGTCTCTCTGGTAACCAGGCTTGGGATGACTCTGCCAACATTTGCTATCAGCCTTTCTTATTTTATTGGTTCTCAAGACTAACCTCTGGTCTTTACGAAATGATGCATTCCTCCTTTCAAAATATGCTAAATACATTCAATTAGCTTGCAGTCTAGTCTTGAGAAAGGAAAGCCATTCTTTTTAAGATCACTTGGCATATTTCTATTCCAATGGGATGATTTTAAAGCACTAGTGAACTTTTTTGAACAGGGTCAAGACAAAGAAAGTAAAAATGTTTAAGGGCTTTTATTTGCATCCAAAATTAAAATAACCATGAAAAAGTTACATATAATCTTTGTATCAGTCAGGATCTCAAAAGGAAACAAATGGCACTGCAAATGGGATAACAGGGGAAAGTTTATTAGAGGATGTATTTACAAAGGTGTGAGAAGTGTTAAGGACAGAAGCACCCAGCGGGGCTGTTAACACCTCATTGGTTCCCAGCTAGGAACTGCTAAGATCCTAAACCTAAAGGGCAAGAGGAGAGAAAGGTTTTCATAACTCAGTGTAGAGGCCTTCTGTGGTCTACAGTGGAGGGACACCAACAACACAACAATCTGACAAGAAAGAAGCCGACCAAATACCCTGGACTCACCCTCCTCTAGCCTTCCCATCCTCTGCTGGTGCCTTGCATTGCCAAACCCCATCAGAAGCCAGAGGACAAGAAAATCTTTTGATGCATTCCATGAAGGTCAGCTTCTTGACAGACTGTGATGGTACAAAATAGAGATGGGTAGAGAGTAGAAAGTGGTTTTGGAGGGTCAAACAGAAATATCCAGCTCTGGGAATTACACGTTGGAGTCTTTTTTTATTGTCTAGAAAAATATCACTGAGAAAATTGGTCCTGCTTTTTTGTTGTTTTGTTTTTACCATTAAAATATTAAATTCTGGATAATTGGACGACAGTGTTTTTAATCTTCCATGCTAAAGCTCGATGACAGGCTGTACAGAAAAGCTAGGCAGCTGTATGTCAGTTGTTCATCACTATTTTAAAATTTAATTTTTGGTAACCAACTTTACCAAGTACTTAGAGGAGAGACTTACTATACCTACCATTCTTGTCCCCATGTATTTAAAACACATGTTAATACCTTAGATTTAGAAGTTTGGGAGATAAAATATTTAAGTTCTCCATTATTATTAGATAGAAATTTTCCTCCCCTCCCCTTTCTCTGGGGGAGCTCTGATGTCAGAAGTAAATAACTTTGTGGAAATGTATATCCTCAGAATCTTTAACCCTTCCTAAAAGCTGTTATAACCTATATTCATTCTTTAAAGAATATATAACTGAAAATAGCTTAGGACAATTGTTTTTTCAGGGCAGTGTCAATAATTATTTTAATTGTAAGAGAAAAGCTATTTCTAGTAAATGCTCATTTTCCCTAATAAAAATTCTTTACTACATTGATTATTGTCATTTGTGTAGGATTGTGGAAACCACGAACTGGAAGTCAAGGCCACAAATCAAAAGGAAATATCATTCCTTGTCTGGTGCTGATCAAGGCCCTGGGGCACTCTGTGCTTTAGTTCCCTCAGCTCTCAAAAGGGTACAACTAGCTATTAAAATTACTCGAGATCACAAGTCAGATTCACTCATAAGCCACTTTATAAATGAGAAGAACTTTCCAAAGTTACGTTAACTCTAGGAAATTAGAGGCTCATAAGGGAAGCCAGAAGCCCATAGAGGAAAACAGCAACTCTCAGCAATGATCTGCCTCTCCTCTAACTTTCCTTTGTTACTAGAATTCCACGGAAGTATTGTGTGGGGTGGGGGTAAAAAAAATCAATACTGGTTAGCGGTATGCCTTTAGACTTTCAAACGTCACGGAGCTGATTATCTAAGCTAATTTTTTAATTCTTCTTCTTCCGGTCTAGGGTGTTTTCAGCAATTGTGTTTGGTGCAGTGGCTCTTGGACATGCTAGTTCCTTTGCTCCAGACTATGCTAAAGCCAAACTCTCTGCAGCCCACTTATTCATGCTGTTTGAAAGACAGCCTTTGATTGACAGCTATAGTGAAGAAGGTCTGCGGCCTGTGAGTTCTCTGCTGCCTGAGTAGTACTCGGTTAATTTTTTCCTAAAGGTTTGCTATCTGCTAGATTGTAACCACAGGATAAATATGAAGAGATTCCACTGACATTGATTTGTCTTTATGATATTTATAGGGCTAATATTTGACCAACTTTCCTGGCATTTTAAAATTTTATAGGATGTTTCAAGGATTTTGAAGTTCAGCACATCAAAAGTAAAAAAAAAAAAAAAAATCCAGATATACTGGAACTGGATAATTTTCATGAAAACTGTTAGTCATTTCTGCATGAAGCTCTGTGTATATAATTCTGTATGCAAATGCAACTAGCAATTTGGCTTTAATCACATTTTATAGTGACTGGGTTATAATTAGTAAGGAGGCCACTTTATTCACAGCAAGAGTACTAATCCTATACTCTACTATCTCCAAAGTTAACCCAAACTTAGACCTAAGTGTTCTTAGCATGACACAAGCTGCGGCACATTTTAATGCACCAAAAAAACCACTGTGGGTGAAGAGATGGGGGCTTACACAATCTTTCCGGGACTTTGCCAGGTATTTCATATAAGAAAATTGCTATGCCCAGTGAAGGAGACAGAAAGAGTCTGCCAGGGCTTGAGACAAGGGCTGTCCACTGAGACTGCAGGTAGCAACTGTTCTAATTTCCCAAGCTTCTGAGCCTTTGGCCACTGATTTGGCTCCAGCCTCAAAATCATCATTTAAGAAAGCTAAATATTTATCTTAAATGACCCAGAAACTGAGGTTAGATAACAACTCTCTGTAATACGACTACCTAAACTAACCCCTATCTGTATCTCCCATCTTCCATTTTCTATAACAATTTCCTATCACTAAAACTGGTACCAGCATTTGTAATGACTATGAGTTTTATGTTTCTCTCCTAGTTTTTGGTAAGGTTTCCTTGAAATAATCGTTTTTATTACAATAATTATTAGATCCATCATAATAGCAACATTAAAAAATTTTTTTAGGATAAGTTTGAAGGAAATGTGACATTTAATGAAGTCATGTTCAACTATCCCACCCGGCCAAACGTGCCAGTGCTTCAGGGGCTGAGCCTGCAGGTGAAGAAGGGCCAGACGCTGGCCCTGGTGGGCAGCAGCGGCTGTGGGAAGAGCACGGTGGTCCAGCTCCTCGAGCGGTTCTACGACCCCTTGGCTGGAACAGTGGTGAGCACACTTTCATATTCAGCTCATTTTAAGTTTCTCATCGTCTGAATGCCTGGATTTATTTAAGTATCCATTGTAAGCTGTGGTTTTTCAAACCTTTAAACAACAGTCCCACTTAGTGTCTGACATCCTAGAAACGGTCTCCAAGCTGTTTCATCTGCCCCAGCCAACATCCACAGCCCCTCCCTCAGCACTGCCCCTCTAACCTGCTTTGTGAGCAGCCTTTTATCCACCTGGCTCCCTTCCCTTAATTAGATTTCACCTTCCATGAGAAGATCCAGCAAAAATTTAAGTAGCCAGAAATATAGAGGAAAGACAAGATGGGAACCGAGGATAGGGAGTGTTTCAAGAAGAAGGTCATCAGCAATGACAACAGCAATGGAACTTCCTATCACTAAAACTGGTACCAGCATTTGTAATGACTATGAGTTTTATGTTTCTCTCCTAGTTTTTGGTAAGGTTTCCTTGAAATAATCGTTTTTATTACAATAATTATTAGATCCATCATAATAGCAACATTAAAAAATTTTTTTAGGATAAGTTTGAAGGAAATGTGACATTTAATGAAGTCATGTTCAACTATCCCACCCGGCCAAACGTGCCAGTGCTTCAGGGGCTGAGCCTGCAGGTGAAGAAGGGCCAGACGCTGGCCCTGGTGGGCAGCAGCGGCTGTGGGAAGAGCACGGTGGTCCAGCTCCTCGAGCGGTTCTACGACCCCTTGGCTGGAACAGTGGTGAGCACACTTTCTTAAATTAGTAATTAAGTGGCTAAACCAATATTCCCATAATGGAAAACTTTGGACAAGTAAAGATCGTAATCCTTCTTGATACAGTGACCACACTGTAGAAACCCTGAACTGTCTCCCATAGTCAGACAAATATATGGAGATAATCGGGTAGAACATCTGGAATTTATTGTAGCTCAGAAAATGCTGAATATAAAGTTGACCTCTACCCTGTCACGGGCCTTTTGAGCCAGCCTGATTCTCCTAAGTGAACTCTCAATTCTTGTTTTATAAAGGTAAGCCACAAACTCCTGCCAGATTTCTAAGCAGGCTCCCAGGAAAGGCCTGCTATTCCCTCCTCACCTCCTTCTGCTTCGCCTTCTCTCTCTAACCTTGAACTCCAGGCTCTCTGGCTTTGACTCTTATCCTCACCTCCAGCCCTTTCATATTTGGCTTTCATCAATGATTTTCTAGTATCTAGCCCCTGGCTCTCTTCCATAAGTGAAGGCTTGGCTCTTATTGATAATTACCACTGACCTAGCTCTGGGAGCCCACCCCCAGTTAGAGAGTCACCAAAGTGTTAAATCTTGTTTAGTTGTTTCTTCTCGGGAAATCTTATGCTTCCACTATTACAATTGCTCTGCAGGTATAAATGCAGGCAAACCAGCTCAACAGTCTGTAGGTATGCTGTGCTAACACTACAGTGGGAATTTCTTCCTTAATTGAGAGGTCAAGACTAGTTAGACTTATGTCTAGTCCTTAATTGGTGAACTTAACCTTTCAGGAAGCTGCATTCTCAGTCACCACATCACAAGGCTCCTGTAGAAGCATCATGCCTCCTGCATGTAGCAAATAAAAAATAAAACTATCACCAACAAAACCATTCTCCCAAAGACACTGCCCTTTGAGCTTGTTAACTTTCCATTGAATTTTTGTCCTTAGTGCTGTGAAAAAGAGAAAAGTTTAGGCTGGTAGTTCTCAGGGAAGAGGTAGAGGTGGATATGAAATAACCAACTTTCAAAATCTGGGCTGTGCTACCGATCTGCCTTTTGTTCTGATGTGCCTGGAGAAGGGGGATAAAGTCAAGATGAAAAATTAGTTCCGAGGACAGCAGATGTGAGTAGGATAACTAATTGCAGAAAGGCAGAGGTGGTATACTTGCCTGGCAAGGGGCAGGTAAGGACAGAAAGGAATGTGGAAAGACAGTGCCAAATATGCTACCATTTTGTGCCAGTTAGACCAAGAAGGGGATAGCCTAATCAACATAAAAATCATTTTATTGGCTTTTTTGCCCTCCAACAGTGTAAGTGCTTACAGGCTGTGAGGCTTGCTATTTCACCAACTACTGATGCCCAAATGCAACAAAATCCTCCAAATGGTTAATCTAGTAATTTACTGCTTAGTTTTTCTTTTTTGTTTTCTTCTTAAGCCCTTCTTATAGTTTGTGGACTTTGGTTTTCAGCTCTTAGATGGTCAAGAAGCAAAGAAACTCAACGTCCAGTGGCTGAGAGCCCAGCTCGGAATTGTGTCCCAGGAGCCTGTCCTGTTTGACTGCAGCATTGCTGAGAATATTGCTTATGGAGACAATAGCCGGTTTGTATCACAGGATGAAATTGTGAATGCAGCCAAAGCAGCCAACATAGATCCTTTCATCGAGACCTTACCCCATGTAAGTTAACTGATAATTTTTTAGGATGAAATCAGAATCAACTATACAGTTTTTCTCCCCAAAGCAGTTCCTGAAGTTATACTCCAACAAAGTCTTATAATGGAATGTGTCTATTTACTAGCACTGTGACCTTGGATAAGACCCTGAACTCCATGATACCAACTTTTCTTATGTCCTATCTCATACAAATGTAGTGAGAAGCAAATAAGGTGATACTAAGTCAATGCAGCGTATCTCAGGTTGCAAACTGGTGATTTTGGGGTTGCATTCAGACTGTGGCCATGTTTGGTTTATGGTACTTTTTAATTAAACACTTTATTTTGAGATAATTATAGATTCACATGCAGTTGTAAAGAATAGAAATTTTATGTACCATTTACCTGGTTTCCTCCAATGACATCTTGCAAAACTACCGCCATGATATTGACGTGGACACAATCCACTGATGTCAGATTTCCTGTTTTACTTGTATGCATTTGTATATGAGTGTATTTAGTGCTATGCGATTTTATTGCACGTGTAGAGTCATGTATTCACTATTGCAGTCAAGGTACAAAACATTTCTGTCCGCACAAAGATCCCTCATGTTGCCCTTTTAAAGCCACACGCCCCTCCCTGCCTTCACGCCCCCCAACCTCAGGCAACCACTATTCTCCATTTCTGTAATTTTCTATTTTAAAAACGTTATATAAACATACAGTACATGACTTTTTGAAATTAGCTTTCCTAACTAATCCCCTGAAGTTATTGTATCTATAGTTGATTCCTTTTTATTGCTGAGTAGTAAGTATTCCATAGTATAAATGTGCCAGTTTGTTTTAACCATTGACCTGTTGAAGTATACCTAGGTTGTTTCCAGTTTTGGGCTACTAAGAATAAAACTGCTATAAATTTTTATGTACCAGTTTTAGTGTGAACCTAAGTTTTTATTTCTCTGGGATATATGCCCAGGGTGCAGTTGTTGGGCTATATGGTGATTGCATGTTTAATTTCATGTAAGAAGCTGCTTAACTGTTTTCTAGAGTGGCTGTGCCATTTTACATTTTCACCAGCAAGTATGAGTGATAGTCTCTCTGTATCTTTGCCAGTTTTTCCAGTGTCTTTTTTTTTTTGCCATTGTGATAGGCATATATTAATATCTCATTGTAGTTTTAATTTGCACTTCCAATTGATAAATGATGTTGAACATCTTTTTATATATTTATTTGCCATCTATATTTCCTCTTTGGTTAGATGTCTCTTCATGTCTTGTGCCAATTTTCTGTTTGAATTGTTTTTGCTGTTGTTTTGACAGATTTTTATATACTCTAGTTACTAGTCCTCTGTCAGATATATAGTTTGCAAATATTTTCTCCTAGTCTGTTGCCTTTTTTCATCCTTTAACAGGGTGTTTTGCAGAGCCAAAATTTTTAATTTTGATGAAGTACAATTCATCAATTTTCTTTTTATAGATTGGCTTTTGGTGTCAAGTCTAGGAATTTCTTGTCTAGTGCCAGGTCTTAAGATTTCTTTTTTTTTTTTTTTTGCTAAAAGTTTTATGGCTTTACACTTTATATGTATGTCCGTGCTCCATTTTGAGTTAATTTTGGTATAAGGTTGTTTTTCTTGAATGATTCATTGTACTCCTTTGGAGAGGACACGTACTCTCCTTTCCATGGTCCCCAACACTCCCCATCACCTCATTGTAGCTGCTATGCCTGTAGCCAAAGTGCCGTGAAGTCAATATGGATTTGAAAAATATCTAAGGTAAGGGTTCAATGAAACAATTTTCTTCAGTAACTGGTAAATATGAGTGGTCCTGGAACAATGACTTGAGATCCCTAAAACTGAGGGTAGAGATCATTCATTTTGTGGCACTTATCTAGTATCTACAGTTCCACTGGATTAAACTGAAATACAGCTTGAATTTTTACTGATATATTGTGCTATGATTAGAAATCACATTCACAAAATTAAAAACCCTCCATTTTGGTTAGCCTTATCGATCATTAACATATAGTTATTGACTTCAGTCAAGTATTGGACTTAACTGTGAATGGAAAAAACTTTAAAGCTTCAGCTTGAACTGAAGCTTTGACATTGGACTTTAGGACGTTAATTCACATGATATACACTGAATTCAGTTCACTCTAAACTGAACTGACTCAATTTGTACTTTTATACATTCCATGTTTTGGCTTAGAATGTTCTCTCAATATCCAGCTTCCCAACTTCTCTACAAAGGTATCTAATTTATCTCCTCTTTCTTCTTTCTCCCACCTTATCTCCACAATTTCTATTTCCCTCTTATCTTTCATAGAATGTTGTGTATACTACTGATTTGGTACTTTCTTGATCTTATAGTGAATGCTCTATATGTGTTTTTTATCTTAAATTATAAATTCCTTCAGGGTAGGAACAAAGTTGAATTCATTTTTGTACAGCCCATAGTTCTGAGCATAGCAGATACTCAGTAATATTTAGGTGAATAAATGCATTTAAGAGAATAAACTAGGCTCTATTGGGTCATATGTATATAGCAAATTTAAAAAAAAAAATTTAAAGCTTAAACTAACATTTAACCTTTTTAGTACTCCAGTGACATTAGATCAACTGACATGGTAATGGTAGGAATTTGAGACTTTGTTGCAGAATAACACTGAGATCTGAAATCACTAGTTTTCTATTTTGATTTTGAAAATGAACATTCTGTTAAATGGAAAACATGTTAAATGGACACCTATGTAGGTGTTATAGAACTTTCTGATTCCAAATATTTTTTCCTTATACATAGAACTATCAAATGTTAAGAAGTACAAGTTTATTTGATATAGCATTAGTATTCAGAGTTAGAACTTTATTAATTTTATTAATGGCAACTTGCAGAAATATGAAACAAGAGTGGGAGATAAAGGAACTCAGCTCTCAGGAGGTCAGAAACAGAGGATTGCTATTGCCCGAGCCCTCATCAGACAACCTCGAATCCTGCTCTTGGATGAAGCTACATCAGCTCTGGATACTGAAAGTGAAAAAGTATGGCCTCCCATCTCATGTTCCATTTAATTTGTAAAATAGAAGTTTTTGTGCTGTTAACCATGAAAAAAAAAAATGTAAGCATAGAAAAAAGTAAATAGAAATTTAGACAGTGGTTATTTTGAGGTAGAATATTTTATCTCTTTCAGTATTTTTCAACTTTTCTAAAATGATCACCTATTACTTTTAGAAATTTTAAATATTTGTGATTATTTACAGTGAGACTCCATTTTTATTATAATTAAAAACAAAACTACATGTCAAATTATATAAATACACATGCATAGAGCCAAAGATTCAGAGATAAACAAAAAATAAATTTTCTTGCTTAGATGATAAAAATGTTTAATTTCCCTTCATGTTAAAACTTATATGTACAATTTTTTAAGATAAGGCTTCTGTTCTGATTTATCAACAGATTGTCCAAGAAGCCCTGGACAAAGCCAGAGAAGGCCGCACCTGCATTGTGATCGCTCACCGCCTGTCCACCATCCAGAATGCAGACTTAATAGTGGTGTTTCAGAATGGCAAAATCAAGGAGCACAGCGTACATCAACAGCTGCTGGCGCAGAAAGGCATCTATTTTTCCATGGTCACTGTCCAGGCTGGCACACAGAACTTATGAACTCTTGTTATAGTATGCCTTAAAAAGAAACTCAAATCATTCTACAGCTTTTGCAGACTTGTAAAAAAAAAATGTTTAAGACATCGAAAAATAAAAGTACATCTTACACCAGACCAATTTAGAACATCCAGTTTGGGGTTTGATACTACAGCATTTAAAATTTCAGAGTTAAAAATGACATCTTTCTTGATGAAATATGAAAATAACCTAGCTCTTCCTGAGTTATCAGAAATATCCAGAGAAAGAAGAGCAAAGTTCAAGTATATAAAGCTGTAGTACAGAAGTTACAGACATAGGGAAAATTCTTATGGTCCTGAATAGTTGTAGATGACAGGATATTTTGGGAACAATTTTCCCAAGTACAAAGGGAAAATAAATTGTTAAAAAGTCTATTGTCTCCCTTGGTAGGTTTCCAAATTATTCTATTGGGGGGAATTAAGGTTTTTAAAAGTGACTATCCCCAGCTTTATCATCAAAGTCCAAGAGAAAATGAAATTTTCCTTATACCAGGCAACTTTGCAGGCATACATTCGTTCCAAAAAGCAAGAGACATATTTCTTTAAAAAATGTTTAAAACACAAAAATTACACATATTATCTCAGTGCAATTTGTAATGTTGGAAATATCAACAATAAAATGCTATTTACATAGCAACTGCATTTTTTTTAACAAATAATTCCAACTGTTTTCAGAATATGAGTCCACTTCTAACAAGAAAGAATATGTTTAGATGAAGAAAAAAAATATTCTAAGCAACACTTGGAAACTAATCACACTGAAGCATTTTTTCCATAATTTACTGCAGCAATATCAATTCTCATTGCAGTGACATCTTGTTTAGGTCAGTAAACTATTCAAACCAAGTTCTTCGATCTATAATAAACCACATATTGTATTACCAAAAAATGTTTCAAATGTGACCAGGTCCATCAGACTAAATTTCAGATTAACCAAGAGAATGGGGCAAGGGGTACATTAGCACAGTGACCAAAGGTGAGTTCACCTTACTCTTCTGTAGTTATTCCCTGATGAGGATCGTGAGGCATCTGCCCCTGGAAAGTCTGACTCAGTAGGTCTGGACTGAGGCCCAGCTATTTCTCTGTAAAAAGCTTTGCAGGTGATTTTTTAACTTTAGGCAATGCAAGGAAGCGTGTTAAAGCATGAGCAAAAAGATGCTTTTCTGTAGGAGGTGATCAGTTTCCAAAAATACCCAAGTCTTTAGATATTATTTAAAAACAACTAAATGATTCCAAAGGGCCTAGCAATTTAGTCTACAAAATTGTACTAGTGAGGAAAAGGGTCCGTAGTTCAGATTTCATCTTCCTATTCTATAGTAACTGTTAAGGACATATCAAAAGCCAACTCTTTTCACCAAAAAAAAAAAAACAAAAAACCAGTCTTATCAAATTCAGAACATATGAAAATGTAGAACAACAGAAAGAACATCTATAACCAGCACACTAAATATACTGTAATCTTTATGTGGTAGATTGCTACAAAAATGGCCCCCAGTTATTCATTTTCCCTCTTATGCCCACTCATTTACATTTAGTTATTTACAAAATGACTTTGCTGCTCTTATCAAAAGATGAGTTCCCCGCCCCCAACATCTCTTAAATCTGCACTGCCCTTGTAACTTGTTTTAACCAACAGAAAGCAAAAGTGACATCATGTGACTTCAATGTGACTTCAGAGTCTCGGCCTCAAGGGGCCTTGCTATGTGTACCTTTCCCTCTTAGAACACTCCCTCTGCCAAGTACAGAAGAAGTCCAGGCTAAAATACCGAATGATCAGATACACGTGGAGAGTCCCAGCCACCAAGTCCCCAGGCAGTATGTGAAGCCACCTGAACTTACCAGTCTCAGTCTAGCTGCTTAAACAACTCAAGCAAGACAGCAGTGGAACCATCCAAATGGGAAATCGACAGACACAATCATGAGAAAAATAAATTGTTCAAAGACAGTAAGTTTGGGGCAGTTTATTATATAACAATACATAAGTTAGATCAGAAAGTATAAGGTCAAACAGGAATGAATCACTTATTTAAACACGATAAACTATATGATTTTGAGTTGTAGTAGAAAACTACAAAATCGAACAGAGAAGAAAAAGAACTGTAAAACCCTGAGAATCTGATAGTCAATATTTAATCATTTCGAAGTCATCGACAACTAATTTTAAATATAAGTGCTTTAATTTTATGTTCACAAAACTAATTACAATATACTATGATGCATTTTGTTAAGGGGTTTTTTTTCCCATGTGTCAAAGTACCGGTATAAACCTCTCTACTACAATCTAATTCTTCTGATAGGCTCTATTTTTTTTTTTTTTTTAAGATAGCTATTAAATTGTAGTAGTCTTTTCCAAACATAGTAGGCTTGTATGCCTGTAGAGAAAGTGGAAGACATTGATTTCAGGGAAATTAGCATCCAATCATGTAATTCATATCCAATCATGTACTTCATACCCTTTGGCAACTAGAAAATGTTAAAGTGCTTGAAAGATAGACTCTACAATGGTGTTGAGAGAGAATTTATAAACTATATAGGTACCAACCTGTATTGAAAAGTTAGAGTAAGACCTGTGTTGTTAAAAGTTGTGGATCTGCATTGTTGAGGCTTATCTTAAACTTTGCACTGTTCTATATTCACTATGTCATAATTTGCATTGCTGCTGCATCAAAGGAAGCTTAAAAATATTTCTACTTTCTATGTCACAGTAAATTTAGAGCATGATTCTACTAATCTCTACATTTAACATGTTTCCTTCAAGTCAATACTCCTTCCTATCTCACCTCACCACCCTACTCCCAGCACCCAGTTTAAATGATATATTTTGGTTAAGTGCTTAATGTATAATCTCTAAAGATAAGGGGTGTTCATCAGCTGCATCATGTCATGGAAAGCATGGAAAGTCAGCTGAACTAGCTTTTTTGCATCAGTCTCCGGACATGATTTCCAGGCTGAACAGGATACGACAAACCTGTGAAGCACAAATAATAAGTGATTAAGTACTATGCAAAAATCACAACGCAAAAAGACTCCAGATGGTGATGGTGACTACGGCCATGACTTTTATTCCATTTGGCTGTTCATATATGAAATATGAATTCTTGCTGACATTAGATAAATGTAACCTGACACAATGGAAAGTAAAGCCATATTTATACATAATGCTAGGAACACCTAATTTACTATGACTAGAGACTAAGGACAAAAGAGAACAATAAAAACTAGCCAGAGCTCAAGAGTGCTTTGGAATAAGGTTTTATTGTATTAAACCCACCTCTTTCTAAAAAACACCTTCCTAAGGTGCTCTGAATGGAATGAAGTGGAATATAAATTCATGTCACTGTTTGCAATGAAAATTGGAACTACTTTTAACCCATTTCCCATTTGCCGAGTATACTCGCTGGTGGCACTTGTGGCTGCAGCATTTACCCCAAGATAACTCACAGATTACAGTCCTAACCTTACTCCCCAAATTTGCCATGAACTCTCTCACTTTTATTATTTTCAATTCGCTCTAGTATATCTATAGTCTTTGGAAATAAATGACATCATTCTATTATAGCATTCTGATTTTAGTAGTGGTATTTCCATTTACAAAATATAGTAATTCTCGATCGCTGAAGATGTCAAATCCTAGAAAAGGCAGCATTCCTACACGTGATGTTAACTTTGTTTTCAAACAGTTGTTAGCCAAATATTCATTTGATGAATCCGATTTATGTATACATTTCTATTACATTAGGATTAGAGACAGGTTCTGTTTAGAAATAACTCTAAGAATAGTTTTTATGTTCTATTTTCACATTGAAAACCAGACAGATTTGGGTCAGCCTCAAAGAGTGTGTTTATGTAAAATTAACGCTGGCAGCAAGCTGTACTTTCTTCTTCTAAATGAGAAATGGGTTAAAGAAGAATATGGTAATTGAAGAGTAAAAAATAATAATAAAATAGAGAAGTATAAGTGGAGAAAAAGCTATTTCTAGAAATCCAGAGAGAAACTCTCTTGGAACTATCTCCTTCTAGGTCCTGATGAAGAAATCCCCTGTCTGGCGGGTGATAAAAGTGGCCCCGGAAACTGAAGGAAATAGGAAAGAAACACCTGGCTTCCAGTGGGCTCAGAGCAGAAACTGGGCCCTAGCCTTCTCCTTTCCAGACATTCAAATTTTCTATAGCAAAACATGCATTAAGCTCAAGTTAAAACCAAAATGTTGTGTGATATAAAGCTTGTAGATGACCATGCTCTGTCTCATTATACAATGATGAAACTAATGTTTGAGTCGATCATATGTGCTGAAAGATATACAGGGACCTACAAAAGTCCTGCCTTCTTTACACTTAGTGATTCATGTCACTAGTTATTTCTAGCTACACTATGCATATAAGTCTCAAATACTTAGCAACATCTAAATATACTTCTTTGCAAAGATGAACAATTGCTATTTAAGTGTTAATTTAAAAAAATTAGTTATCTTCCTAAATTATAGAAGGAAATAAGTACTTTCACAAAAGAATATACACAGATGCCAGTAACAAAAGTTTTATTTCATAAGAAATTGTTATTTTTGCCTATAAATTGGTAAAGAATGTTTTATAATTTTTAGAGTTGGAAATGATGTGATGAAATAAAAAAGTATATATTATCATTATTTGTAATAATGAAAAACTGGAAATAGTAGGTAAGAAGTTAAATTATGTAAATCCTTTAGACATTATTCAACCATTAAGATACCTCAAAGCGTATTTAATAGCACTGGGAATTGCTTGAAATAATAAATGAGAATGAATTCACAAAAAGAACACTAAAATATTTATAATATGATCTAAATTTTTCAATATTTTACAATATTTTTATGAGCATGTAGTATGTTTAAAATAAAATGCTATTTCAAAAATAAACCAATATCTCTTAAGTTATACAACTTTCACAATTAACAATGAATGAAAAAAATCCCTTCCAAACCATTTCTGTGCATTTCATTGGAAAATTATTTTGGGTATATTCACAGTAATGACTCGTAAATGTACACCTCTAGCCCTGACCTCTTTTCTGAGCTCCATGCTCGTATATACAACTGCCTACTGACAAATCATCTTATATATAAATATAAATAATAAATTCCTGAATTAGCAGAAATCTCTAAGTCAACATGTACAAAACAGAATTCTTAGTTACACCCTACCGTGTCTCCAAACCAATTTCTTCCCTAATTTTCTCCATCCCAGTAAATGCCACCAACAAAATTAGCAAGCTGTCAGTAAGTACTATTGGTTCTACCTCCAAAATATATCTCAAATCCCTCCACTTATCTCCGCTTTATTACAACTGCCTTGTTCGACTTATCATCCGCGCTTCCTGATTTCTCTCATCTTATTCTTGCCCATATTACTGTCCACCTAATTTATATTCTGTATAGTAGCCTATGGTCCTTTTTACATGTAAATAAATCAGGTAACATTCATGCTTAAAACTGGTTAAAAGTTTCCTATTATTTTTAGGAGAAAATCCAAACTCCCTATCATGTTACAAGGTCCTACAACAACTGACCACCCCAACAAATCAGTATCTCAAGGAGCGTTACTTTTAAAGCTCTCCAGATGATTCTAATGGGCACTCGAGTTGAAAACACTGCCCTACGGGATTTAGTTCTTGTCTATCTCTCTTCAACTGCTTCTACCACCCTCCTACTCAATTGCTAATGCCAAGCTCCTCCCTCCACCAGGACTTGTAAACTTATGTCCCACAACAATATCACTGTGAAAACATTTACTGAGTGTACCGCATTTATGAGGGAGTTACAGAGCTTGTGGGCTTATAATCTAGGGAGGGAAATAAATGACACACAATGTACACACACACACACACACACACACACACACACACACACACACACACAGATGCAGTGGGTAGTTTCCCCACACACACACACACACACACACACACACACACACACAGATGCAGTGGGTAGTTTCAAGTGTTAAAATAGCACTTCCCCCTTCCTCGCAGGTATGTGCTATTTTAAACGGTCAGGTGACAGCAAACATCTGTAATGAAGGGAGTGATTCTTACATATGTCTCAAGGAAGAGAATAGTAGGCCAAGAAAATCATGACTGTGAATGCCTTGAGGAGGGAACTTGCTTGGTCTGTTCAAGGTACAAGAAGTCCAGTGTGGCTGGGGTAAAGTGAAATAGGAGAACTGTAGGAGATAAGGTCAGTGAGGTGAGAGCTAGAGCATGTGGGATCTCACAGGAGAACTCTGAATTTTACTGTGAGTGAAAAAAAAAGTCCTTGGAGGGTTTTGACTAGAAGAATGATATAACTTGAGTTACATTTTTAAAAGGATCATTAGGACTGTTGTGTAGAGAATAGACTGTAGGGAAGGAAAGGTGGAAAAAGATCACATAGGAACCTGTTGCAATAACCTAAGTGGGAGAAGACAGTGGCTCAGCTTGGGTGGCAGCATTGGGCATAGTAAGCAGTGATCAGATTCTGGAGAGCTGTTTTCTTGGATATTCATTTGACTAAGTCCTTCTCATCCTTAACATCTTATCTTCCTTGTCACTCCTAAGACACCTTCCCTGACCACACTATATAAAGCAGTGTTCCATCTCCCCACCAGTTAGTCTCTATTACCACATCAACTTGCTTATTTCCTTCACAGCATTCATCAGTATTTGAAATTATCCTGCTTATGTGTTTGCTTTTGTCCCTTTTTCTCAAAAAGAATATAAAACGCCATAAGAGGGGGGGATCTTATCTGTCTTATGTCCTTAGTACCTAAATCCTTGACACACTATATATTCTCATTAAATACTTTCTGAATGAGTGAATGTAACTTCTGCCCCAGGATCATTAAAAATGTATTTTTAAAAAAATCAGAGCCAAGGTATTTATCATTGCATGCAATATGGGATCCACGACTTGTCAGGGACTCTATTAGAATGCTTACTTATTCTCTGTATTTGGTAATAATTTTAGACCTCTGACCCTTTATTATGAGAAATATTAATAAGATCAATGTTTAATCTTTATCATTCAACCTTTAATTTGTATATTAATATACACAAACTGAATATCATGGGAATATATAATCCAAGGATTTAGATGCCAACAAATTCACGCATCACTGGTATAACAGACTGTCACACTTGACATGAAAGCAGATGATAAAATTTTGAAAAAATAACACTATAAACTCTTTAAAAAGGGAAAAGTATAAAAACAATATATTAGAAACTGAAATACGTCATACATATATTATCATTCCAATTTTTCACATTCCTTTGGAAGTGCTTCTAATCCTGCACTCTTCTTATTCAGTGCTCAATGTAGCCACATTTTTAAAATTTATTTATTTTTTAACATTTTATTATTTTTTTTATTATTTTCTTATAATAAAACCTTCCATGCTTTGAAAGACCCCTGAAGACACTGCCAGACTGCGTGAACAAGGACCTTTTTTCATGCCTATCAATCCCACATTACCTTGTACTCTCTTTTTCCCCTACCAGGTTAATATTTTCTTTCTTACTCTTGCTACAAACTTAAATCAAACCTCATACAACCCAAATGAAAAGCATCTGAATTGGTAAAACCTTTTAAAAAACATACAACCAGTCTCTTGTCTTGGTCTCATTAGCGTTGTCTATAACTCCATGAACCATTACATATTTGCACGCTAACTTCACCTGAACTTACCATAAAATACCTTGGATAGAACAAATATGCTAATATGTACACTGGTTTTTTGAGGAGGATGATGATATGATCGCTGATTCAACCTTAAATGGTGTTCTGCACAAAACACCTAAAGGACTGATTTGACAAATGTCTCAAAAGCAGGACAGAGAAACAAATACACATTAAACATCTAGTGGTAAAAATAATTACCCATTAGCAAGTGACAGCTAACAATACAATCAGAATCACAGTGTAGGAAATATTCGAACAACAAAAGTGATAGCTTTCTTACTCTGTAGCACAGTAAAAATAAAAAGAGCAGCCTCACCTGTCCTCTCTGATATGATAGAAGAATCCATAGCCATTGTGTACCATGGGAACCACCATTCCTTGGACTCTTAAATAACCAATCAGACTTGTTGAGAGAACAAAGTTTCCACCTCCTCCACTGTGTAACACAAATAAAAGATATTATACCAGGCTTACAGATGTTTACATTGTTTCTGAAGAGCTTTTAACATTCAGGTAGAAAGAAACTGGTAAAGTTATAAAGCACTACAATATATTACCTTCTGGAGAAAAGTGGATCTGTAAAGAGTTCTGGAACAGGAAGACCTTCCTCTTTTGCTATGAGTGAAAGACCTAAAAGATGACGGTCAAATCCTGCAATGAAACCCCAAATCTGCAGTTAGAAAAAATTTTTCAACCTGAGAATTTTTTTAAGTCAAAATAATTCCAATACAAGTACCTTTTCCAGTTGAACAATCTTTCATCATTTTATTATGTTTTGCAAAAGCTTGCAACATCTTTTGCTGCCGCTCAAAAAGCTGTTAAAAATCAAGAGATGCTTCAATAACAAGCTGTACAGAAACCAAATAAATAAAAAACCTGATCTCAAAGTAATTAGGACTTGGGTAATTTGGGAATGAAAAAGTTTTTAGGAAGACCTCTGAGACACATACTTCTGTGTCTTTTCCTCACTGCTTCCACTACCTTTTTTTCCCCTATATGCCCTGTACCTTGATTATTTCTTTCCCGGTACAAGAAAACATAAACTTGTGGGCAGCACTGAAGTGACATTAACAAGTGTAAAGAAAGAAGCAACTATGATTTCAAACTAGAGAACAGTTGTACAAAAATGATACTGAAGCAGTTCCATGAAACGAAAATAAATTGACATGTACCTAACTATGTCTATCAAAACTAAAGAAATAAATGCAATGCCAAAATAGCACTGGGAAAGAACTACCCTGTTTTCTAAATGCTTCCGAAAGAACAGTAAATAAAACATATAAACAAATATAATAAATAAAACATATAAATAAAACAAATAAAACATATAAAACTGTTCTGATACTAATACATGAAAACAAGAATCTGTGATTTCAAAAATGTTCAACCACATTAAGAAAAGATTTCTTTAAAAGGAATTTTGGGAGAGTCTGTATTTTACTGGTGTTATTCTAAATATAGATCAATAGTAGCAAAATTCTCAAGGTATTGAAGAAGATATTTTGCCTAGAAAATGATACAAATGGGCTTCCAATTTCCTATCCTTCCAACTATATAGTCAACTGGAAAATGAACAAATTTTTTGAAAACTTAAGGAAGAATGTCTGAAAGTATTTTACTGATCCAGGGGAATTGAGATAAAGAATTAGTTATTCAAGGGCCAAGGTTCTTTAGAACAATTAAAAAAATGCTGTAAATTTTTTCTTTTCAAATACTCACACTGGTAGAAGGATCTTGCATGGACTGGCACCACCTGACTGCTTCTACTGTACATGATCGCACAGTCTCTGTACGACCATGATAAAAATATCTTGTCATAGCTGTTTCATAGCAGCAACCAGGGCTACAAAAAAATAAATAAATAAATAAGAATAAGAGAATTTATCATAAGAAAGAAAATGCTCTAATGTTATTACAAAGAGAGTTTGCTTAATAAAGCTGGTTGGGTCAGAGACTAAGTTCTACAATATTAACTACAGTTGAGACTTTCAATAACAAAGAGGCCATTTTCAAAATCAAGGAGCAAAAATTACTCTGGTGCACAGGGCCTGGTATAATATGGAACATTTCAAAGGCTTAGCTGCTGTCAGTTTATATAGTAAACTGTAGTCTGTGGTAGATGGTCTCTAAAATCTCCCCCAGTGATCTCTACCTCCTGCTATTTTATGCCCTGGTATAATCCCTCACTTTTGAGTTGGAGATGAACTTAGTGACTAACTTCTAATAAAAAGAATATGACCAAAGTGATGGGATGTCACTTCTGAAATTAGGTTACAAAGAGAACTCTGTCTTGCTCTCACTTTCTTACCCTGATACTCTGAGGAAAGCCAGCTGCCATGATGAAAGCTGCCCTATGGAGAGGCTCAGATGGCAAGAAACTGAAGGAGGCTTCTGGACAATAGCTTGAGAGGAACTGAATCCTACTAATAACTATTAGAGAGTGAGGATGGAAGTGGTTCCTCTCTGAGCAGTACCTTCAGATGAGAACATAGTCCTGGCTGACACCCTGACAACAACCTTACAAAAGTCCTGAAGTTAGAGGCACCCAACTAAGTTGCAAATGGATTCCTGACCAACAGAAAATGTGAGATGCTAAATGTTTATTGTTTTAAGCCACTAAGTTTTGGGGTAAATTGTCACACAGCAATAGGTAATACAGAGTCCTTAGCCTTTCGTTCCTTTATATAAAACATGAATGACTGTAGAACTAAATAAAAGCATGATTTAAGAAGTTCCCTAGAGTGATAACTGTTTTCCTGGGCTGGAGAATGACATAACAATTTTAGATACAAAGCTCTCTTACTTTCTTGGTAGTTGGAATTGAGTTAAAGAGATTAAATGGAGTGAGAGTAAAAGGTTGGAATGTGGGATCTAAGAGGACTCTAACAGAGTAATTGAGCCTCTTCTGTTCCATGTTTCTATAAGGCTTTCTTCCTGAAATAAAATAGTATCCTTTTAAAATGTGAAGAAGAAAGTGCAAATAAAAACATAAAACAGAGCTAAAATAACATTCTTTAAAAAACATTAAAAATAAAAGCAATAAAAATGAATGACAAAATATCACTACTCTGCAACCTCTAACGAAATAACAGATCTTGATAATAATCCTCAATGGTTACTAAGATATTAGGTAAAAAACTCAGAGAGTAAACTTTATAATGGATGTTGGCTAACAACTGAACCCAATCTCATTCTTAAAGGATAAAATAGAAAATTAGTAACATTGACTATTTGATTTTTTGTTGTAAAAAATAATAAAAATAACTGATTATTGTTCTCAAGTCTCTAGACCTAAACACCAGTTTATAAGGAAAACAGGAGACAGCAACATATTTAACAGTATTTTTTAACTTAAAAGCAAGTGAACAAAACACTGACATAAATTTATGTTAATGGGGACATAATGTAAAAAGATATGACCTGTGACAATAACAAAATAAAGAGGGTAGTTCATATTGTATAGAAGCAGAGTGTATACTATTGAAACTAAGCTGGTATTATTCGAACCAAGTTGTTATAAATTTAAGATGTTAACTGTAATCTCCAAGGTAACCACAAAGAAAATAGCTAAAGAATATAGAGATAAAGAAGGGAATCAAAATGATACAGTGCAAAAAATCAACTAAGTACAAAAAAGGGCAGTAATGGAGAAATTGAGGAAGAAACAAACATGTAAGACCTACAGAAAATATAACTATAAGGCAGAAGCAAATCTCTCCTTAGCAATAATTATTTTAAATATAAATAGACTGAACTCTTTAATCAAAGGCAGAGGTTAGCAGAATGGATTATAAAAGCATGGTCTATCTATATGCTGTCTACAAGAAATTAACTTTAGATACAAAGATATTAAGAGGTTAGAAGTAAAAGGATGAAAAGATATTTCATGAAAATAGTAACGAAAAGAGTTGGAGTGGCTATATTATTATCAGACAAAGTAGATTTTAAGTTAAAAGATTAAAAGAGGAAAACAAGACAGTATATATTGAAAAGGTTTAATTAAGAAGATATAACAATTATAAAAATATATGCACCAAACAACAGAACCCTAAAATATATGAAGCAAACATTGACAAAATTGAAAAGAGAACTAGACAGTTCTACTATACTAGCTGGAGACTTCAATACCCAATTTTCGATAATGGATAGAACATGTAGACAGAAGATCAATAAGGAAACAGGACCTGAACACTATAAATAACCAGATCGAAGAGACATATATAGAATATGCCACTCAATAATAGCAAAATAAAAGTTCTCAAATGCACATGGAAAAGTCAATATATATTAGGCCACATAAGCCTCAATAAATTTTAAAAGACTGAAATCATACAAAGTATCTTCTTCAATGACAATGGAATAAAGCCAGAAGTCAATAATAGAAGGAAAACTGGAAAATTCACAAATATAAAGAAATTAAAACATACTCTTAAAAAACTAATTGGTCAGGGAGAAATCACAAGGGAAATTAGAAAATAGTTTGAGATGAATGAAAAGGAAAACACAACACACCAAAACTTATTGGATTAAGCGAAAGCAATGTTCAGAGGAAAATTTATAGTTGTAAACACCTACATTAAAAAGGAGAAAGATATCAAATCAATAAACTAACTACACACCTTAAAGAATTAGAAAAAAGGACAAATTAGACCCCAAGCTAGCAAAGGGAAGAAAATAGAGTGGAGATAAACAAAATACAGAAATAAAAAATAGAGAAAGTTAACTGAACCAAAAGTTGGTTCTTTGAAAAGATCAACAAAACTGACAAACTTTTAGCTACATTAAGAAAAAAAAGGATAAGACTCCAATGACTAAAATTAGCTATGAAAGAGAGCATTATTCCTGACTTTACAGAAATACAAAGTATTATAATACTATGAACAACTGTATACTAATAAATTGGATACCGTAGATGAAATGGACATACTCTGAGAAATACAAACTATCAAATATGACTCAAGAACAGAAATCTGACTGGGCCAATAACAAGGAGATTAATCAGTATTCAAAAACCTCCCAATAAAGAAAAGTCCTGGACCAGATGGCTTCGTTGATGAATTAACACCAAATCTTCTCAAACTCTTCCAAAAAAAAAAAAAAAAAACGAAGAGGGAACACTTCCTCACTCATAATGATGTCAGCATAACCCTGATATCAAAACCAGTCAAAGATAGTACAACAAAAGATGCTATAGACCAATATCCCTTATGAAACAGATGTAAAAATCCTCTACAAATTACCAGCAAACTGAATTCAGCAGTTTAAAGGATGATACAGCATCATCAAGCGGGATTTATCCCAGCAATGCAAGAGTAGTTCAACAAATCAATCACACTAATAGAATGCAGAAAAAGACCTACATGATAATCTCAACTGATACAGAAAAAGCATTTCACAAAATCCAACACTGTTCTACAATAAAAACACTCAAACTACAAAGAAAAGGGAATTTCCTCAACATGATAAAGGGCATTTATGAAAAACCCATAGCTAACACAAAACACTGAAAATTTTCCACCTAAATGAAGAAGAAGAAAGGATGCCTGCTTTTGCCACTTCTGTTCAACATGGTACTAGTTCTAGCCAGGGGGCAAAAAAATAAAAGACATCCAAATTGGAAAAGAAAAAGCAAAACTACTTCTATTCACCGACACTTGATCTTTAGAGAACCCTGAAGAGTCTACAAAAAAATTGTGAGAACTAATAAATTGGGTAAAGTATCAAAATACAAAATCGATACATAAAAATCAATTTCTATACATTAGCAATGAACAATCTGAAAAGAAAATTAAGAAAACATTTCCATTTCCAATAGTATCAAAAAGAATACTCAGGATTAAATTTAACCAAGGAGGTGAAAAGACTCATATACCGAAAACTACAAAACATTGCTAAAAGAACATTTAAAAGACATAAATAAATGGAAAGGGACCCCATGTTCATGGATTGGAATCCTAACTGGCAGTATTGTTAAGATGACAATAGTACACAAAGTGATCTACAGAATCAATGTAATCTCTATCAAAATCCTAATGATGTTTTTGTAAAAATGAAAAACCCATCCTAAAATTCATATGAAATTTCAAGGGACTCAGAATAGCCAAAACAATCTTGAAAAGACCAAAGGTGAAGGACTCCGACTTCCAGATTTCAAAACATACTTAAGTGAAATAAGTCAGACACAAAAGGACAAATATTATATAATTCTATTTATAGGAAAAATCTAGAACAGGCAAATTCAGATAGACAAAAGTAGATTAGAGGTTACCAGGGGCTGGGGCAGAAGCGGAATGGGAAGTTATTGCTTAATGCATATAGTTTCTGTTTGGGATGATGAAAAAAATTTAGAAAAAGATAGTGGTGATGTTTGTACAACACTGTGAATATTAGTGAATGCCACTGGATTATATACTTAAAAATGGTTAAAATGGCAAGTTTTATTTAAGAAAAAACCCCATATAGCTGCTAATAAAGATAAAATGGAACAATTAAAAAATTATGAATTCAAAAGAAGGTAAAAAGGAACAAAAACAGATAAGATAAAGAGAAAATAAACAGCAAGATGGTAGACTTACACCCAACTTACTAATAATTATATTAAATGTAAATGATTTAAACATCCCATTTAAAGACAGATATTCTCAGATTGTATTAAAACAAGCAAGATCATGAAGCTTCCATTTCTGCTTAGGATGTAGAAAGTCACAATATACTATCTATCCTAAAAATGAGTAAAGACTAGATAATCTACAAAATCATACCTTTTCATGACTCCATCTGAAAACTAAGCTGCAAGAAAACCAAGTGATCTGAATTCCAAAGAATGTGAAAACCCCTCTTAGAAGATAGCAGACACTTCAAAAGTATTAAGGTAATGAAAAACAAGGAATGACTATGAAAGTGTCACAAATTGAAATCTGCCATTCTTTGGAATTATTGTTGATGGAAGTACAAATTCGGACATGGTGCCAATTGGGAAAAAAAGTAGGGAAAAACACTGTGAGTTAGGATGAAATAGCTATGATAAAGATATATCCTTGGAGTTCAAGATTCTGAAAGTGGAAATTAAATGGTCCTCACCGCCCATGAAGTCTGTAATAGGCCAGCTGAAGTGCAAGCTGAATAAATGTATCAGGGTGAAGCTTCATCTTCTTGGTTAGCTTTTTGCCAAAAGATGTAAAGGGATGCACCACAATCTGTAGATCAGATGCCTAACAAAAAGAATTAAATGGGAACAGTGAAATATGACCTAAGGAGAATACTCTAAAGGTAACCAATTATCATTTGCATTAAAGTAATTATCAGACATAAATAAAGGTATTAAAGCTATAATTTTAAAATGTTTCATGCTGTCGTGCTTAGATGATAGCCAAATTTTTATGTATAGTAGTTAAGAGAAAGCATTACTATCTAAGAGAAAAGTGAAAATCTACCTGCTTGAGATACTGGGCTTTAGCTTGGTTGACGTTGTTTAATATTTTCTCATCCACAGTGAAAACAAGCTCCTCAGGAAGTGGTATATCTCGTACTTTCTCTGAACCCTAAAAGTAGGGAAGAATTTAAAATATTATATCTATAAAAACATGAGGAGAAAAGGGATAAAATATTTGTTTTAACATACCTTCCACCTTCCTTCATTCTCAAAAATCTTCTCATCAACATAATAGCTGATTTTTACTATAACCATTGCATCGAAAGGAGCGTGCTAAAATGAAAATACACAAGATTCTGAATACTTTTTATCAAATTTGAACTTTATCTAATATTTTATTTTCACTTTTCCGCCAGTCTCAATGTGTAATAAAGTGCAGCATTCTCAAAAGCCTTACCTCCTAATGATAAAGATATGGATATTCTACAGAACAGTAAGTAACTGCTATATTTTATTTTCTGAGAAAAAAACAAATATTTAAAGTTGGAAGCACCGATTTAGGGCTCTTGAGGTAAATGAGGAGAGGTGTAAAATAAACCATGTACCATCTGGAGAAAATAATTGCTATTTGTACTGGTAGTCAAAACAGAGATATGTATGTATGCAGTGCTAAGATGTTCTGGAATTGTGGAAAAGTGGACAGGGAGGGCAGACTATGTGAAGGCTAAACTGAGGATGAGTATGAACTTCTTTAGATAAAGACAATAGGCCACTAGATGAGTATTAAAAAGCATAACGATTTTGTGTATGTATCTACAAGTGTGCAGATGTGGCAAAAATAATTCTCAATGCTTAAGGAATGTGGGAAAGACAGGCTGAGATACAGGGTGTTATAGGTTTGACAGCTATATTTAGAGAAAGGAAGTGCAGCTAGTACATTTTTCCATCATTTATTTTGAAGGACAAACTTTTTGCCTTATTTTCTCCATGTTCCTTTGATGATAATTACATAAGATGGTTTTCTCCTGTTACTGCTACCACTTTACATTAAACACAGTTACCATTTATGAACTGAATATGACACTGCTAGCTTTGGGGAGAAAGAAGAGAGAGTTAAGATATAAACCCAGCCCACCTGGTTCAGAGGGAATAATTAGGTGTCTTAAATATCACCCTAACATTACACAGCTCTGCTGCTCTATATCATGGCCCAATAGAGCCTAGAAGCACAGTGTATACTGTTATCAAGTAGGTGGTAGCCACAACATCAGGAAAGGCTCATGAGAGGGGTCAGTACAAGAGGCATGAGCAGCTCATCCCACTTGTCAGGAACGGCACAACATAACACGACTCACAGGTCACTAACAAACCCCTTTTCTAACTGCATCTCACAACTATATAGTACATTTTAGCTTTACAAAGAATTTTCAGATATCACATACATTATTTCATTTAAGACAACAGTATTAATCTTGAACTATTTTACTGGAACCACTAAGAAGGAGCAAGACTGAAGAATATGTCTCTTCTCCCACCCATCTCCTGGTGGAAAGCTAATAATCAGTTTCAAAAAAAAAGTTAGGAAATATAAAAATTTCAAATGCTTCCTGATGCTTTATTTGTTCACATAATTTTTATGTTTCTTTTTCATTTATATGGAGATAATATGTGTAACATACTGTTTTAAAATGTGGACTTTGGGTTCTGAGTCCAAACCCACCACTTACCAACTGTGCAACTATGAGAAAGTTACTTAATTCAAGTAAACTACCTCATCTGTTAGTATGGATAATAATACCTATTCTCATACAGTTGCTGTGAAAAATGATTTTAACAATGCTTATAAGTGCTTGCTAAAGAACCTGGCACGCAGCAATAATTAGTAACTGCTGTTACTACTAACAGCTGTTTATTATGCTTCCCTTCATGAAGCTCTATAGTAAGGCCTATATACAGCAAACTAGTTGACTCCAGGATTTTAAATCCCAAGAGAGAAATGCAGTTAATATAATCACAAAAGTAAATATTCAAGCACCAATGGAAGAGAGTAGCAACATGGCACTGAATTAAGAACAGCTTTATAGTATATATACTTTACTAATGATGTTTTATAGGTTAAATTGCATTTTCTGTAATCATCTTAGGTTACAAGGGAAACCTACATTGAATTAAAAGCATATCAAGGGGAGATAATCAAATATCAAGTAGAGATAATCAAATTGATTTTTAAAATATATAGGTGTTAATGCATGCACATAAAGTATGTCCATACACTTACTACAGAAAAGCAACTCAGCTGTGCTTGAGATATGTGCTTATTATGGGACCTATATTCTTTATTCAGAGATAGAAAAGATCATTAGTTATTTTCATCTTGAATTTGAGCAAACAGCAGGATGTTAGTGGTATTAGTAAAAATCAAAGTAGTGTGAGGTTTTTGGGGGGTTAGGAGTGAGGAAGAAAAGCAAGACGATGAGTTCTCAATGAGAGCAACTTACCCTCATGTAACAATATAATATCCAGTTTGAACAATTTAATATATAGTGAAACAAAACTCTCAAAATGAGAATAATAGGTAAAAAATAGAAAAGTATAACTGCGAACTACCTAAACCAGGAAAGAGAGTAGGCACGGGGGAAAGTATGATGAATATTA